GGCAATTTAGTATATGTTGATTTGCTTTTGTTTAGGAATTTTCACATCATGTAGGGTCACATGAAGTTGAATGGAATAAAAATGCTGTCGTGATACTTAATTTCCTTTTTTGGAGTTAGTCCCTTATGCGAATGTGGTTGTTATTTATTTAAAGCTGTATTTGTATTTAAAAAACGTTGCCCCACACTAGTATTTTCTCCTCTGTCGTGGGTGCGTTTACAAACATACAAGTTCACATACACATGACACCCAGACCAGGAACAACAATCTGTGGATCATACAAATACATAGTTGTCCCGTGCGGGAGTCGATATCGCGACACGTTGCGCGGCAGCCAGTTGTCCAGCCGCCGCGCCAACCGTGCCGTCAAGTTTTTAGAAATTTAACAATAGTCCATATTTAACATTAGTCCATATTAATGTTTAAAACTCAAAACGAAATTGGTTGTAGGTAACCGACATAGAATGACAATAGAATGTTTTTCCACGTTTTCCAAGTGGCAATTTTCCATCGTCAGTGGGTAGCGGTTCTGGCGACATGGAGCACCTGGTTTTGTACCCTTGTGTACCCTTCAACGGCAAATTCCCACAGCATTAACTATAATAATAAAGAAATTACAATAAGGAACCTTAGACTTGGCACGACTTTGTTATATTTCATTACTTTTTAGAGATAAACTAGCAGCTCCATCGAGACTTGGCTAGTATTTAATAGAATGTTTTTGGTGGGATTGTATTTAAAATTTTAAGAACCAGGAGATGGACATAAAATATTTTTTATCCAAGGATTTCCCAAAAAAGCTACGGAAACTAGAAAAATCGGATTGCGCGTATGAAGTAGCGGGCAGATGCCAGTTATAACATAAAAGAATCATATAATTTCTTAAATTTATCAAAATAGAACTTGTTTTTTACTATCACCTGTCGGCGCTTCGCGGGAGCGTTCTGCTTACACCCTGTGTACTTTATCAGGCTCGTATATCAAATAGGTAACTTCAAACATACCGTACATATATATTAAACACGGATCTCTTTTTCGTAATGTTCGTTATAACGTTATAATGATACCTACCTATTTTTGTATTGTTAATTATTTACAAAACAATAGGGTAGATGCGTAATTTTTATTTTAATGTCCGTCTGGTTGATTATTTTAAATCATTAGACACGTATTTTTTATTTACTTACAGAAACGTATACTTTCGACGATATATTGATTTGAAATGTCGCGTGACGTCACTTCTATGTACATTTTATGATATTATAGAAATGACGTTTTAGCCCCCACTCCTAAACTTTGATTCGTTTTATCTAAGTATTGTTTTATTATACGTCAAAATAAAAAAATACGTCTCTAATATTTTTTAATTACCTAACTTATGGACTAATTATATTTTTAATTTTCATACCCTGTCATCATCCCAATTGACTGCTAGGCTTAAAATTGCTGAACTTGGATCCTTTCCATCACTATATTTCACATCTTACAAACGGAAAATTTGTTCAATACACTATGCTCGTATAATATAATAAACAACAAATATTTCTACCAATAAACTCATTAAGTTAACCAATAAAAAAGGTGACGTAAATCGAAGAAATTGCTGACAGACGCCGAACAGTTTTATGACCCATAAAATATGGTCAAATAGAGCCACGGTTGAGTGGTATACCGGCTGTTTATTGGACATCATGGAATATTGGCAAAATGAACACGTTACCAAGGAATTACTTGGAAAAATTTGCGACTTTTTGAGGTCAAGTAGGCAAACGGATCACCTGATGGTAAGCAATCGGCGTCGTTCATGAACACCCCAAACACAAGTGTGTTACCGTCCTTTTGGGGGATTAGGAATTTGAGGATTGTGGGGGATTCGGGGTTTGGGGAGACTGGAGAAGGCGGTAATTGGGTCTCCGGTAACCTCACTCACACGACGAAACACAACGCAAGCGTTGTTTCACGTTTGTTTTCTGTGAGGCCGTGGTATCACTCCAGTCGAGCCGGCCCATTCGTGCCAAAGCATGGATCTCCAATACTTAAATTTGTAATTGATATTTTTGGGGAAGATCTTCTTTACGAGGTAAGCAGGCAAACGAGCAGACGGATCACCTGATGGCAATCGTCGTCGTTCATGGACAACCGAAATGATTGAGCAGTTACAAGTCCGTTGGCGGCCTTTTAAAGGGTTAGGGGTTTGAGGATAAAGGATTCGGGAAAGGAAAATTTTCCTTATAAAGATTATTTGGTCCCACAGAATCAGAATGAAATCACATTTAACACATTGGATGCTGTGTCAGACAATGACGTCCGACGCTAGTGAAGGATTGGCCCTTAACAGTTTTTGTGGGCAGCTAAAGGCTTAAGAAAGTAACTCAGTTTTTTTTTTAAGGGGGGAAAATCATCGAATGACTTCTCCCGCCTGGGTGAGACGGGAGGGATTGTCAGACTCTTACTGACTAAAAACCAACCCGTTCCTACTCCTGCGCTTCGAGCCGGAGCCCCGGTAACCCGTTAGGTTCTCCGCGACAAAGTAACTCAGTACTTCGTATTACTATAAAATGTTGAAGTTTTTACCCACATATTTCACCAGTTATTTTCTGAGTGTATTCACATTAACGCCAATACAATTATAATAGGGTAGAACAGTGCATGAAAATTAATAATGCAATTAGTCCGTCAGTTAGATAATGAAAAAATTTTAGACACATATTTTTTATTTTGTCATATAAGAAAACAACATATACATAACTTCACGCCTGTCTCCCATGGGGGTAGGCAGAGACTGAACGCCAATTACTACGATTCTTACATACCTCTTTCGCTTCATTAACAGTCATCAATCTTTTCATGCATGCTCGTCGGTTAAGGGTACTTTTAATTTGGCCCTTCTTTAAGGGCCCTTCTTTAAGTCTAGGGCGCCCTCTACCGACGGCCCCATTCATATCCGCTCTGTATACTTCTTTCGTTACTCTACTTTCATCCATCCTCTCTACATGTCAAAACCAGCGTAACATTCCCTTTTCAATCCTTGTCACTAAATCATCTTTCAATCCACGCTTTTCTCTAATAACACTATTTTTCACTCGATCACTCAATTTTAGTCGACACATACTTCTTAGGGCTCTCATTTCCACCGCATTAATCCTGCTTTCATGCTTCTTCTATAAGAAAACAATATTTAGATAAAACAGAGTTAAGTTTAGGAGTGGGAGGACGTTACGTCACGCTACCCTATAAAATATAGTAAATCGTGACGTCACACGATATTTCAGATCAATGTATCGTCTAAAGTATTTAATTTTGTAAGAAAAAAAAAATCCATGTTGAATGTTTTAAAATAATCTACCAGACGGACATTAAAATAAAATTTAGAATACTACCCTGTTATCGATCGTAAACATTCAAAATAATAATTTATTTTGACCTTACTAACCTTTAGTATTGGATAATTGTACGTTAGATCGTAGGCAGGACAACAAACCCACGCGATCTCGATTATTACTACGTTTGTGGGATTTCTGATAAAATCGATATTATAAATCGGAAGATTATAAGAATTCTATTCTGTTAGAAGTTCCGTACACGTCATATCATACGAAGCGAGATTATTTTAATAGAATAACGCCTTATTAGCGTAAACGAGCAGACGGTTCACTTGACGGTAACCAATCGAACACCTGAAACATCAAGGTTGTTACGTGTGTGACCGAAGGAATTTGAGGATTGTTTTGGATTCGAGTATTAAGGGTAATTGGGCCTCCAGTAACGTCACTCACACGACGAAAGACGACGCAAGCGTTTCACGTTGCTTCACGTCGGTTTTCTGTAAGGCCGTGGTATCACTCCGGTCGAGTTGGCCCATTTGTGCCGAAGCATGGCTCTCCAACATTTAAAATACCATTCCTTCGATTGCCCTTTGCAGTTTTAGCATAAACTAAAACTAAAGTGTCATTTAAACTTATGGTTACTTAACTGAGATCTCTCTCTCTCTCTCTCTCTCTCTCTCTCGATCTGCGTGCCAAATGCCGGGATTATGGCAAAGCCCCTTTTTAGTAGGAAACTTTTGATCAAAATTAATTAAAAATCGCAGGTTACTCACATGACTATACTGAGAAAATCTCTACTAGTTTCGAACCACAGAGGGATTCTTCCTCATGAACAGCGTGCGCGGTCGCGGCGATGTCGTGCAGCCTACTGACTTTTACAACTTAAATTATTTATTATTATATAACTTTTATTCAGTAGTCAATGTTTTCAAGCTAATGATGCTTTAGTAAGCATAATATTTTATGTATCAATATTGGTATTTGTTTAGCAGTTAAGTCAATTACGATAGCATTTAAGAACAACGTTACAAGCAAACGAACAAGGCAACAGACAAATAACGCATAGATCTCTAAAACTTTTATAAATTAAAATCAGACCTTTTTGATATCTTTACGACTTTCTTCTCCATTCTCCATAGATAGGTGGGCTGAAATGTAGGCTGATCAATTTTAATACATCCACACAGGACAAACTAAATCGATTTGTTTCTTACGAATTTCTCCGACGTAGGCTGGGAAAATAATAATACGATTAGTCTTACCATCTTGTATTTAAACCAAGTTCAAAAGTTAACTGGTTCCCATTTATCTATTTAATTATTTTCTAATATAAAAGTTTGAAAGACTTTGACTACTTGACGAGGAACTCAATTAGTTTCAAGTCATTCTGAATATGAGCCCCTAGCATGGCTTGAAACTAGTCGAGTTCCTCGTCAAACAATAACGTGAGAAAGCCGAAAAACATACCTAATAAATAATTCAGTATGTCTCACGACAGTTAATAATACAAACAATTGTAGTGTTCATAACTATAAAGTGTAAGTTATGTACACTTGAACTAGTTACATAAACCTATTCATAAAACGAGGTTTCTTTCTCACGTCCAAGCTAAAAATATTATCACTATATCCATAATATTCACCACAAATAACCATTATACCTTGACTTCCGCAGGTGTACGATGCCCCGTGTGATGAAGTGCCTGGTGTACATTGGCGTGGCCGCCTTCCTTCACCAGCTGCCCAGGTTCTTCGACCGTCGGTACGTGCCACAGATCACAGTCTGGCGAGGACATTTCGAAGAAGTATGCAGAGTAAGTACATTGTTTATCAAATAGACACATAACATAACATCACGCCTTTTATCCCTGAAGCGGTAGGCAGATGTGTAATTATGTCACTGTACAATGTACAATGTAACACCTACTTTTCACTATTTTATGTTTTGAGTCCCATGTAATAGGGGGTTAGCCTATTGCCATATTCCGGGCACAATTCCAGACTCCAGCCGACCCGGGAATCGAACCCCAGACCCCTTGCCCGGCAGTCGCACTTGCGACCCCTCGACCAACGAGGCAGTTTATGAAATAGAGTGATAAATATTCACACGGATCACCTGATGGTAAGCAATCTATGGTGGCTGGTGCCACAACATTAAGCACAGCTCCGGCCTATTGCACTGCGACGCTTTATGGACCTATTGTTTTTGTACTTGTATTGTTATATGCTCGTGTGTCGTGGCGTAATAAACAGTTTTCCTTTTTTCAATCGGCGCTAGAAGAGTTATAAGTACGTTGTTGGCTTTTTGGTGATCGT